CGGAATATTTCGATCGTAATGCTTCGGAACATTTACGATCCCGTATTATTTCGGAATATTTCGATCGTAAAATTACGTAGATTTACAGAAATCAGTAAATCTACAGAACATTATGCCGTAAATGTACGTAATTTTATGAAAATCTGTAAACTTACGGAACATTATGCCGTGTTTAAATTCCTGATGTACCTTTGCGTCTCTCCGGTAGATCCTTATGTGAAAAGGTATGAAAAATCCATTTGCATGTGCTTTCGTAGAGCTCTTGGCATCATACAACAATACTAATTACGTCTCATACCTTCTTATCTTTTTCCCAGCAAGATATAAAGCATGTAATGGTATGTGAAAGTTCAGCCAACATTCCTCAAAAAACTTTTCCGGAGAAAATAGTTTCACTAGCATAGCTAACGCAAAATAAGGTATGTATATGCTAGAAGTTATGTATGTATGAGAGCTAGTTTTCTCACTATGGACCTTGTATTTAGGAAAGCAAGATGTCTGATAAGACCAAGGAATCTGATAAGACCAAGACTCCTGACAAGCTTGACAAGTTTCTCGCTGGTGGAGATATTACTCTCAACTGTTTCATTTCTGACGAGGGAGTGAACGATATTTTTGAAGTAACGATATCTAACGCTAACAACAATAGAGTCTCTTCTCTCACGAAGACAATCAGAACCCGTCGTCTGGATCGATTTCAAGATATAGATTCGACCAATTTGGCTTTATATAGGGTCACATTTATAGCTGATAGTGTCATAATCAACAGCTTAAGAAACATCAGTGAATTTGAAGTAGAAGGTGCAATAAGAATGGAACCGCAAGATACCATTTTTACTCATTTTCCTATACAACCCCAACGTATCTTTAGTGGTGAAAAGGGAATTAATGTTATCGTGTACCCTCCCGCTAAAAGGGTGCTGGAGGTACTAAGCAAAGATAATTAGATTTTTTTATCTATATTTCATTAGCGATAGGTCTAAGCCACGAAGTATAGTCTCATTTTTTATGTAATGTAGGCCAGCTATCGGCAACTATTTTACAGTATTTCATAAATAAAGTATTATTTTATCGAACGTATATGAGAAAGGGTCACGTGCGATGATGCAATGCCTGTACTACATAAAAAGCTATATTAACACCCAGTATTTTCTTTTTCGAACAGAAATAAATTTTTATCTTACTCCGGAAAGTAACACTATTTTTTGTCTGAGCCAAATATTCCTATAAAAACGTAACACTATGTCTTCTGAAACCAGTACACCTTATACTCCAGCTTCCACCTCTATCTCTGTTGCTGAAAATGAGACGGTCTCGTTGGCAGATGAAATTAAAAAATCTGATACAGCCAAGCTTATAGAATATTGGCAAGGGCAGAAAAACTTGGAGCTTAGTGAAACGGCTATCAAAATTTTAGAGAAGAAAGAGCTTAATGGCGGGAACTTCTTTGACATGACCGAAGAAGAGTATATGCAAGATGGTTTAGCAAGAGGACCGGCAAAAAGACTTGTGAAGTTTGCTAAGGAGTGTAAAGATAAAAAGTTGAAGTCGTTCTCCTCGTATAAGACTAAGAAAGACTTGAAAGAGGTGTTAGCAAAGTATGGAGTCCAAGATGGGCGGATAACAGACATACCTCAATTTACACCAAGTATGATTTTTCCTTTTTGCTGTATATTACTTACCCTTCAGGAACTAACGTATAGTATTATTGCTTTATAAATAGAACCCCACAACATCGATGATAAGAACGAGGCTTTGTTACACTATCTTAAAGATATATGACTCAGGCTACGCAATATGGGACCTGTCGTTGAAAGTAATGAAGCTATTCGTTGTGAATATATTTCAGCAATCCTTCATGCATGTATTAATATAGTCAGAGAACTTACCGGAAAAAAAATATCACTAAACCCACAGTTCGAAGTTGTTGGCGAGAAAAATACAAATCGTGTTGATTACGCAATCTAAGCGCTTGAGGAGTTAATTTGCATCACAGAGGGTAAACAATATCAAATTGCAATAGGATTCGCTCAGGTTAGTAAGCCTATTTTATTCCAGAGTTTCTTTGCCTAGGCGCCTCTGGCAAGACTTGTTTCACTAACATACCTCTGGCAATCTACAGAATGTTATACAATGCGAAAGTGCTTTACAAACTAATAAGAGAAAACAAAAGGCAGATGATACATTCGGTGAAGAATATGACTATCTCTTCGGGATCATGACTACAGCTACAGAATGGCATTTTCTTCTTTATATCCCAAATGGGCTTTTTTGCACGAGTAGAAACCCACTCAATATTCATTTTGTCGAATCTGCTTTAGAAGAAGATTCGGAGGATGAAAAGGAGTTGTATAAAAATGTGAAGCGGGTAATGGAGGTTATTGTTGGGTTATTGAAGAAACGGGTGGACGTTGAGAAAGAGCCTAAGAATAAAAAGGCTAAGGTTCAAGAATACCTTAAAAAAGAATAATAATAACGTTACTCCACAACTGTCTGTGTACACTGGTAAAAAAATGGTCTATCCTACACATATCCTACACATATCTTACATATATCAGGTATTCAAAATGTAGAAAATCATACACAAATAATACACATATCATATACATATCGGGTACTTATATATATAGTATACCTATCAGGTACCTGATATATGTATGATATATATATTAGTACCCGATATGTGTATGATATGTGTATTATTTGTGTATGATTTTCTACATTTTAAGTACCCAATATGTGTAAGATATGTGTAGGATAAATCATTTTTTTACCAGTGGTATTAGCATAGAACTATCATGTATCACAGACTACGTCCTGAAACTTTGTATTTATTTTTTCGCATGTATTAATAAAAAATTTTCTTGGCAAATTTTGGCGAACTCAGTTCGCCCAAAAACACATATTTTTTTTATTTAGAATGCTTATATACATTGTATTAGTTATATACTATAGATCATGTCATCTGAGCTTGAATTATTGAAATAGCGCATCACTGAACTTGAGGATGAGAATACAGAGCTTAGGAAGGAGAATACTGAGATTATACATGCCACCCAAATTATTTTGGGCTGCTGTAATTATAAGTAAAATCCCAAATTCAATTATGGCATCCCAAATTATTTTGGCACTTTACATAGTAAATTATATATAAACCGAATGAATTATGGTATCCCAAATTATAATTATGGCATCCCAAAATAATTTGGGCAGCATGTATAACACAGGTCGAAATTAGTTAAATAGGATATCAATAGGATATCAATAGGTTATCAATCAGCTATCAATAGGCTACCCTATTGGTAGCCGATTGATAACCTATTGATAACCTATTGATACCCTATTTAACTAATTTCGACCTGTGTAACTGAGATCCCTTATCTTAAAAACAAGCTCTCAGTGTCTGATGCTGAAATAGCTGAACTTAAGCACAGTAATATCGAGTTTCTAAGAGCGAATGAGGAATATAACGAGAGGTGTGATGCTGAAAATGCCAAACTTAGGGCTGGAATCGTGGAGTTGAAATCTGAGAATGCTGAGCTTAGTGATCGTGTCACAAAAGTGAAACAGAACCAGTTACAAAATGACTCAGCTGAAGGCATTCAGGGTAAGGGAAATATTACCCCTAACAATAACCCATCTAACTTCAATTTGGGTGCGGTCTATCATGAAAAACTGTTAGAAGAGAAAGAGATGGATAATTTCTTGCTTGAGGCTCATAAGAAAATCGTTAGTAGTGAAATAAAGCAACGCAATAAGGAGCGCCAAGCTGATAGAAAAAAACTTAGCAAAGCAGAGCAAGCATCTCTTAACCAAAATCAAGAATCTGATACCAGGTGCTCCACTTCTGAAAAGATACCGGAGGTATTGAATCCCGTGACTAAAATTTCAGCCAGGGCCCCTGGCCAAAATAGCCATAAGAAGAAAGGTGCAGAAAACATCATACAATTGATAGCTGACAGCATTAAGGATGATGTCCAATCGAACGACAAAACCATTCCTTGCGATGTGATTTCAATTGAGAGTTTTGACTAAAATTTATCTACAGATTCATTGCTTTCTCTAGCACAATTATTTGATAAAGCGGATGATGCTGAATATGGCGCAATTTGTGCTAATCAGGAAGAGATTTTGCGCTGGTATTATTATGGAAAGGAAGTTTTAACTCAGGTTAGTGTGATTGTACAAGATGGTAAAAGCAAAATAGGCGAAAAAAAGGCAAAGGGGATAATCTATGATAAAATGTTGGAACACTTATCCATGTTGCGAAAGCAACGATCTAAAGAGACAGGATTGCATCTCCCAGAAATCTCCCGTAAAAACTTACAAAGGAAAACTCAGAAAGCTGTGAAGATATATAAATTATTTGAAAAGGTAGGCAAAGATAATATTAAGTATATTACGACATATAGTGCAAACTCTATTTTTGAGTTGACTAATGATAAAGTTCAAGATATCATAGATAATTTCTCCAAGCATAATGATAACGATAACAGTGATGTGGAAGAAGTATCAAGTCACATAACTGAGATTTCAGCTGGAAGCCCCGGCCAAAATCATGTAACCAAAAATCCTGAAACCAGAGAAAGAATTATAAATGCTCCACCAGCTTTGGAATCAACTGAGGTTAATACATCAGCAAGTGTATCATCTGCATCCCAATCTAAGCCCGATCATTCCTATTTTTGCAACAAGATATTGGATCAATATCCTAATCTATATAGAGAATGTAGTAGTGAAAATTTCGATTATTATGGGATTACTGATGAGACATCATGCGGGAACTATATCTGCCCATTATGCAAATTAGGTCATGATGTTGAAGAAATAGAAGGTAGGTATAAAGCAGGATCTTACTTTATTAAATGTGAACAGCGTGAAATTGAGATAGTTGCATAGTCTCATTGCTTTACAATAGTCTGGGAATTTTAATCTTTTTTTTGAATGAATAGGTCTATATGAGAAAAAAGGGATTTAAATTGTTTGCAGTCATATAAAAAGGAAAATGACTGAGTCTGTTAAAATACTAACCGCCGATTATCTGGATTGGCATGCCAAATTAACTGGGTTACCAAGTATTTTGACAGATAAGATTCATTCCAAATTATACAAAAGATATAAAAAAGAAACTGGATGTGAGCCATGGCAATTATCAAAAGCTGTGACAAGTATATCAGAAAAGCCTCAAGCCTCTGATTTCAAGCCTATCACTTTTGAAGCCAAACCCGATCCAGAATTAATTATCAGATCTGTGTTAGAGCATTTCACATGCCTGAAATTCCGAAATAGTTTTAGAGGGATTGATAATTATAATTTTGCATCACCTCAGCCGTGGAGCTCACCATGTCCTATTTGTGATGGAAAACATGGGAATTATGGATTACATGGCGAATGGTATAAAAATGGAACGGAATATTGTATTACTTGCTTCACTTCAAGCAATAAACTCAAGTTCGCAATTGTAGCCATGTGATGGCATTGTTGATATTATTCCGAAAAATATATTTTTATCAATAAAGCAAAGGCGCATTAAGCGCAATATATTTACATGTCAATATCTAGTGTGTGATTGTGTTTATATGCTAATATTTCTCAGTTTTTCATCTGAGGATCCAGATCCTATAAATGCGTAGTATCATTAGGATAGTCATTGCACTATATAATTTATTCTCGAAACTTCCTGCATATACTCAAGCTTTTGCATGTATTAATAATAAAAAGTCCCCCTTGTTGATCCAGGGAATTTTAGGGAGCATCTGTTGATCTGATTTTCGTGATGAATCATAATAACGTAATTTCCCCAAAGATTTATTCCGAAAATCGAACCTTAAACCCATTACAAGTCATATAAAAAGAAGTTGAGACAGTTTTTATCCGCCTTGTGCAAATATAAGCAAAAAATCAAACGAAAAATCTAATAAAATTTTAAACCTACCATTATTAACATCGACAATATCATCAATCAATCAAACGAGTATAATCCGCAAAGTAATAATAAGGTATGTTGATTTATTGCTCGACTAGATTCTTGAAACATGACATCACGATGTTAATCGATTTTCCCGCCTCTATAGATGTCCATGAAAATTTCGGTCATATTGCTCTTCTTGTTATATATCGGCATTTTGATCTTTGCCGAGAAAATCACAGACCATCATCACGCGTACAATGGACGCAGTGAAATTACTCACATGAATCTCGTCACACGCAACGGCACAGCAGAAGTCTGGCGCAGTATATCAATAATTTTTGAATCATAAGAATCATAAGCATCTTCACGTGCCGAATTCTTGAAACTTTGCGCAGTATCGTACCGGCGATAACGCAAAAAAAATCAAGTAATCAATTCCTTATATATGAGGCGGGATGTAATATTGTGAAAACGAAGTATATCAGTAAGTGTGAATTGGAATACTGTATTATTTTTTTACCTGTTGCTAATACTCACGTAAATATACTATAGATTCGAAATTTCTTAATCTCAGAGAAGTTCTCTTTCGAGTAATAATATTTTATATAGTCTGTGCGCTTGGGAGAGATATAGATAGACAAAAATTCTGTAAATATGGGTGGGATAATTTATTTCTGAATTCTAGTGTAGAAAAAGATTATGGGGGTGATAGGCGTATAGATAGAGAAATAATTTTATTAGCTATAAGATATTTTATGTAAATGTGAGAGAGCAAAGAAATAATTTGATGTTAGGACTCGCATTAAATGGCCTCTCCCTCCCTCTTTGATAGCATCAAATATGTTTCAATTTAGCCGACCATAGGGCACCTCTTGACAGGTTTTACCTGAATCCAGAGTATAGGTCTATTTTCCTAGCCCAAGTAATAGTGAAGAGCACCTCTTGACAGGTTTTACCTGAATCCAGAGTATAGGTATATTTTCCTAGCCCTCACTATTTGCGATCTGGTCTGTTTGTTTTTGATTTTGTTATAGAGCTCCTTATTATCATATCGCATATTCATATACATTATTTTCAAAGGATACTCGTTCGTATTGGGAAGAAGTGATAGATGAACGCAAGAAGGCAGGTGAAAAACCTTTATTTGTGCACATGTTAATTTATGACTACACATAAGCGAAACTACCAAATTGTCTTTATAGAATCGTGTAAAAGAAACTATTCGATCAAAAACAATTGATATATACCAAGCTGTGGGGGAGAACGTTGGTGATGAAATCGTGGACGAATGCCAACAATCATCGAAAAGACTCAAGAAGGACGAACAAGGACGATCAAGAAGCGGAGCAGATTATCATTCAGAAAATAATGTTGAATCGCAGGATCCAGTCTCTGCATCTGATGATGATGATTCGGACGTATCTGATCAGGTAGATTATATTCGGGATAGGTGTTGTTAGCCATAAACGCTTATTATGCTTGCTATTGTCTATCACGTAAAGGAAGCGATTGATAATCAAGAAGTTAAGGAAGCGACAAACGATAAAGTAGAAGTGACGAAGAAAAACAAAGTAAATCTTATTAGATTCTTGGCTTTGTGTATACTGAATACTGATAAGAATCTATGTTCTTGCCATTTAGACGGGACCACTTAGACTAAGCGAAGCAAATAGAAAGGAGGTTGACGAAGCTTACAAGTTAATGGATAGACGATACATGTGGAAACTTTCGTCGGGAAAAGTAATCGAAGATGAACTATATAAATTAGGGAGGGAGCTGGAGTTTGAACAGTTAGTATTCATGCGTGAGGTTATGTTTGCGTAGGAATAATTGTACTAAATTGAAGTTTTATTCCCTAGTGCTGTTCACTCATTTATCCTGGATATTGATGACGAGTTGGTTGCAGACTGTTTCACCAAGACAGAACTTCGTGAGATAGAGCTCACACCTATCCCAGAAGTTCCCGAACTCTCAGATGAAGTTAATAATTTTCTGGGTAAATTTATCGGAAAGGTAATAAATATTTCATTTACATGTTGCTGGCAAACATATGCATAATGCAGTAAGTCATCGAGTTCTTTCTAATTTGCTGTAGACGAACTTAAAGGAAATACAACAACTAATAAAGGAATTAAGTTTCGGTATTGATTATGATAGTGAAAAGCATCACGATATGGACTACATATGCCTGGCTTTACATGCGTTGTAAGTTACGGTTTCTACTTTTGTTCTTTGCGACCGTCTTTGTGTGATGTCAACAGTGAATTGACTAAAATTACTTATAGAATTAGAGAAATTGAAAGTGGAAAAATAACGGAAGCAAATCTAGAAAACTGGTTTAACTGCCACGTCTGGAGTATGGTCTTTGACCACGCATTCGAAAATATAAAGGCCATATCTGTCATCAGGTATTTTCTTTCTTTTTTCTAAAAGAGTGTCTTCTTTGATTTAATGTGATTTCTTTCTTTCAATGATCAAGAGGTGAAAGCACGAGTGTATCGACAGCCACTCGAAAAAATAAAAAAACGAAAAGGAAATTAGGAGACCGTCGAAAAATTGGCCGTAGAGGGGACTGGATCCTCAGAGCTGTCGGAAATGTTGATAAAAATGAATTTGGGGCGGGAGAGGCGGGTAAAGGTTGGGTAGATCAATACGGAACGAAATATCTTAGAGAAGGAGGGCTGAAACTTCCAAAGGTACTTAAAGACATGCTATTAAACTTAATGGAGAAAATATGTTGGAACGATGAAGCACGCAAAAAAATACAAACCGTAGGAATTATTCATGGAGGTATATGACTGATCTTGATTTCCATTAAAGTGTCCATCGTTAACTAATATCTTAATTTTTTATAATAGGCCTTATGATGACAATAGCATATATCGATAACCCAATGGGTTACATTTGCAGATTGCGACGTAGTGATTTGATGGAAGTGCCCGATGTGGCCGAAAAATTCGAATCAATTTTGACAATTCTTGCATCGGTCTTGAATATAAAGGTTAGGTTCATAATTTTGTTAGATATGTTTTACATACAAAGCTCTGATGTATTTGTAAATTTAGTCTGTAGTCCGAGAGACGATAAAGATCGTCCAAAGAAGTGGACAGACTAACAAATCATTTAAGAGTGCCGGGCTTCGGAAACGACCTCGAAATGAAAGTCAGCACCATTTATCTGCGTGCATGTCAACCCCAAAGAAAGCGAGAGTATGTAAAGTGAGTACCGAAAGACCATATCCTGCGTCACCATGTCCAGGATCACCAAATGCTGATCCATTGATTTAATTAGCGAAGTGGGAAAGTGGGAATTAGTTTAGCTTCATATGCTGTATATTGTTAAATTAATATCTTTGGCTTTGACCTTTTTATTTATATTTTGTCAATATATGTATGCGATGTATCGAAAAAATATAAAATTATAATTTCGTCTCAAAATCAGATGACCTTGTGTTAGACTTTCTTTTCTACTTTTCGATTCTTAGCAAAACAGAACGCGCTTATGTACAGTACTGTATATAGCATGCGCTTTATTTTTTAACCATTGTTAACTTATAATTGCTGTGTGAATAAACTAAACTGCACCCTCACCGATCATCCTGTGATTTGAGAAACAACTCGGCGCCCAAGGGAGCTAGGGTGATATAATATATGTCATGTGGAGAACCCTTTGGCTCGGCTAATCACCTATTAATCACGAGAGATTCACAAACTGGTTTATATGCATGTAAATATAAAATTAGCATAGTCGAGATATGGCCCTATATAAATCCTCAGTATGCTTATAATCGAATAAAAATGAATCTGATATTTATTAGAGTATACTATTGCTAAATTGGCTAAAATCGCTAAAAACAGTATAAATCAATAAAATCATTATATTCTGTTATAATCTACCAAAACGCTAATATGGATTTAGATAGTAAAGCCTATTCCAAGTTAATTCATGCACACAATAGTGTTGGAGGCTCTGAAGAATATATAAGAATTATTGTTGCAATATTGCCTTTAGCAGAAAGACATGATCATGAAACACCAGAAATGTGGTGCTCTCGTATTCGTGATCCATTTAGGAAAATACTAGAAGAGAACCCAAGAATCCTTTCTAAGAATGGATATATTACAATGTATGGAAAGCTATATGTAGATGATAAGATTCATAATCGTCCAACCAATTATATATATTGCAGTGTATGTAACTCCTTAGTTTTCACACCTGCAAATAGTCTTTTTGAGGATCACTATGGAGATAACCACTTGAAGAGATGTATTTCTGGAAATACTATTTTGAATGAACATGCAAGAAGAAATGAAATTCTCAAATCTATTGATACAAGGGAATTTCAGATCTGGCAATATAAACAATACATATTACAAGAAGAGGCTAAAATTAATCGTCTTCAGCTAGAGCTTTCATTCCAATCTACTCCACATTCAGAAAAGGATAAATTGGCATCGATATCATATGATATTAATGGAAATTTTACGGCTAGCTATGAAAATTATGCACAATCTAAAGCAAAAGATACTATGCCAAATGCTCCAAATTTCGAGCTAGCTTATATTTCACCTACTAGACAAGAAACGATTTTACCAACTTCTTATCAATCATCAAGTCCTAGCCAAAGGCGCTCAGAGTAAGGGATTACAAGTGAAATATTTATCTCATCTCAGTATGCTAAACAAAATAACTTATTACCATCTATAGACCATTTTAATCAGCCCGCATTAAGATTGAGAGATGGTACAAAAATCACATTCGTTTAACGATTAAGAAATATATTAATTATAGACTATTGAAGATTAATATCATTTAGCTAAAGGCGTAATATATAACTTATACTTTATTTTTTATGCTAAATAATCTGCATATATGATCGCCTAGTAAAATTGGTTGAAGGCGCTATACATTTCATGTATTACCTGCCAAATTTTTCAGATTAGTCCTTAACCCAGATCCTGGTTAAGATCATGCACTTTCTAAGGATTGATATAAATTGATCCAAGGGTTCTCCCATTCTCTTTTATAATCACAAAAAAAGAATGTCATTTTACAGATCTCACCCAAGGCAGAGAAGAACATGTGAAGAACATAAAGCTGAGCTGAAAGAAGAGAACTATCATCTTCATAGTAAATTGCAGATAGAAGTTGATACTAATCGCCAGAATGAAAGATAAATTAATCAACTGGAACGGATTATACCCGATGTGAGCAAGAAATTCAAGATTTCAATAAGGAGATAGAATGCCTTGAAAATGCTTCGAAAGAAGAAATAGTAGAGTTAAAATCTGAAATCTCTACCCTAAAAAGTCAGCTATATCAAGCTAGGAATTATGTGCGAGATAAGGGAAAATATATTTCTAGTTTAGAAAAGCAGTTAGTAGAATCTGAGGAACAAGTTAAGAAATTGTGATGCCAGATCAGAAGCATCTCATCACAAAAAAATTCGCCTGAACGAGGGAATTCTCCAGACTTGTATAATTCTGATGATAATATGGCCACAATCACAAAGCTAGCAAATGCTATAGATGGTTATGTGGATAATAGAGCAACAACTAGAGATATTCTTATAGACCAAATAAAAAGAGCTACAAGGCAGATACGCTGAAAAGAAAATAATTTGCATCAGGATTTAGTCTGTGAGCAACGAAGGCGTTATGATGCAGAAGCTGAGCATGATAATGAAATTATACGAAAGCAACTTGCTGAAGGTAGGATAACTAATATTATTGGTGATCTCCATCAATATCAAACTAATACTTAAAACCAGGTAAATAGAATGATAGGTAATATGGCAAGAAAACAAGCCCGTATAGGTGTACTGGTACAAGAAAAATTTGCCTTACAATTATTGTATCAGCGAAATGCTCACCACTTACAGCGAAGTAGAGGGGATATAGATCTGTTAGAATTTAATCGAGACAAGCTCTATGAACGATACGAGAAATGGAAAAATAAGACCCAAGCAAAGCGTCAGAATAATTTAAATTTACAGGGACAAATTTTGGCGCTTCAGAATAATCCACCTAATTAAGTAAACATGGCAGGAATACCTCATCCATATTTTGACTGGGATGATAGATTGATAGCATATACTATTTTGATATTGATCATAAATTATCAAATACTATTCACAAATCGTCATTTACTATTTTGATATTAACTGTAAATTATCAAATACTATTTACAAATCATCATACTGATTCATACAGAAAAAAAATTAGAATTAATTCATGCTATAAAATTATCTTTAAATATTCACAAATCAGACGAATATAACCAAAAATTGCCCAGAATATTTGCAAATAGGTTAAGACTATTTTTATTAATTCGACTTGTGATATCTTGTATTACATTATTTTTTTCAGTATAAAAAGCTTATTGGTATATGATGACATCACATTAGTTAACCTCTTCAAACAATATAAAAGATGTCTAAGTCTCAGTTTCCTCGGTCTCTGTTCCCTCAATTTACGGAAGAAGAACTACAAAAAGCAAGTAAAATTAGCCACTCTTCTGTAAATTGGACTGAGTATAATAAGTGGGTTAAGGCTGGAGAACCATTTAAAGAACACGACGAATTAATGTCTATGAATCAGAAACTTAAAAATGGATCAACTCAAAGAAGATTAGCTGGTAAGTATATTAATTTTATATTTACTCTACAGTATTCTTTCGTTTTCATGTATAATAAAATCAAACTTATAATTTTTTTTAAGGAACCAAACAATATAACATTATCAGAACCCGTAAACAAAGAAATGGAATTAGTTCTAACAAGAATGACGGGAAGGCGAATCAAAAAGCCCAAACCACCACTTGTGATGAAAGTAAATATTGTTGTAAAAGCTCTGGATTCAATCAAATTTCCAACATTAGCAATATACATGAATCAGATACTTCAGGATCTACAAAAAGACGGTATTCTTAATGATGTAATTGGTCTTGAGCAAGTTAGGGAATTTAAATATGATAAAAAAAGTGATGAGATGAAACTAGTTAGGCCAAATATTGGCTTTTATAATGTAGTACCAAAAGAATCCTATATTTACACTTTGACCTTAACAAATAATCACTTTTTAATGTTAAGACACTTAGAGGAAAGGTGGTTTAGATGTCTTGCTTATCTTATTAACCATGATTCCTATTTGGAATTTCTTAATATATTCTTTACAAATAAGACAACACCATAACATTTTATTACACAGTATGAAATATGTATTTTTTTTTTACAAATAATAAATCAAAGACGCGTTTTTACATGGCTTATTATTTTTTTCGTATGGTGTAATGATGGAAAATGTGTGTACTATTATTTCTTGTTGCAATGGAATCATCGATACAGAACTTGAAATGTGCCACTACAAAACATATACAGTAAAAAGGTGAGGTTCTTGCTAATGATCCTTTTTTCCATTTTGTGTAAAATTTAGCAAAACTAATAAGCAATTTTTACCTCTATATCAAAATTAAATCATAAAATTCATTACTCTTGTTAAAATATCGATACATTGGTTCGAGAATCTGTAAAAACCTTAGGGTCTTAACAATAAACGATCATCATATGCAGTAGTCGATATCAGACTGGGCTGTACAACATGCATTACTTGATTTGCATTTATTATTTGCGCAGGCACGCTACTATCATACTAACAAAACAATATTCGGGTATAGATATTTTTTCCAACAATGACTATTTCGCATATGAGATTTGGGATGCATACGCTAATCCTTTGTCATTTTTATTGATTTGCAGGAAGATTAACGGAATGGCAAAATGTAGTGCGTAATTACTGGTAAAAATTAGAGGATAATATACAGTCAACTCCCTCTATGGTCACTCCCGTTATAGTCACATTCTACTATATAGTCACATCAGTTGAATGTTCAAAACACTTTATTATTAAAATCTATCCTATATAGTCACAATCTATCTATAGTCACTATCACACCTATCCTCAAAAATCTTATATTAAAAAGAATCACAGTTATATAAAGAATATATTAAATAACTTGGCATCTAATAATC